TCCAGAGCCAGCAGCAGGTCTCCATGGTCTGCCTGGAAAATGTAAACCAGCCAGAGGAGGGCCCTGTACATGTTCTAAGGCCTGGAGCACCTGAGAGATCTGGGCTGGTTCAGCCTGGAGAAGGCTCTGGGGAGACCTTTGAGGAACTCCAGTGCCTAAAGGGGCTCCAGGAAACCTGGAGAGGGGCTTTGGACAAGGGCTGTAGGGACAGGACAAGGGGAATGGCTTGAACCTGCCAGAGGGGAGATTGAGATGAGCTCTTGGGCAGAAGCTCTTCCCTGTGAGGGTGCTGAGGCACCAGTACAATAGGTGCGCTTAGTCTCTGCTTGACAATCTGCCTTCTGGAGTTGCATTTCTTTCTGTCCTTACATTACAGTAGCTGCTAGGGCAGCCTGCTGGAGGACAATCACGTTCAGAGGCTCCTCTGCCTGTTGGTTAGTGACTCACTGAAAGAGAACAGAGTCTTCTGACCCTCTGGGCATGGCCAAATAAGCTAACTGCTTCAAAAATGCAGGAGTGGCTCTGTCAATCCTCCAGTTATTTCCCCCTTATTTATTCTGTCAGAGAGCAAAGATATGAATTGTTTTAACAAGCTTTTCCCCCCAACACAAGGAGTGTTTTCTTTATTTTTCCCTTTTTTAAGTGCCATTTAGAAGCAGATGAGAGAGGATAAGTTGAGTTAATTGACAGACTTATTCCTATCCATCAGCAACCTGACTGTTGCCCAGCAGCACAGGCTGGGTTTGTCACTAGTTTAGAAGAAAGATGCCTGCCTTGGGGTATAAATTCCTTAACACTGACTAAATTGTCTTGGATGTACAAATCACTGTTTGGTTTCCTGGCTGAGGAGGTGGTTTAGCAGCAGGTATTTCTGCCCGAGTGATGCACAGTTGATGTTGCAGTTCTAAAAGCAAATGGAAGACGTATCTTGGGCTGCATTAAAAGCAGTGTGAGCAGCAGGATGAGGGAGGGGATCCTGCTTCTGCTCTGCTCTGGTGAGACCTCACTTGCAGCACTGGGTGCAGGGCTGGTGTCCTCAGCATAAGAATGACGTGGAGCTGCTGGAGCAAGTGCAGAGGAGGCCACGAGGATGCTCAGGAGCTGGAGCAGCTCCTGTATGGAGACAGGCTGAGAACATTGGGGTGTTCAGGCTGGAGAAGAGAAGGCTCCGGGAAGACCTCAGAGCAGCTTCCAGTGTCTGAAGGGGGCAACAAGGGTGCTGGGGAGGGACCTTCATCAAGGACTGGAGCAATAGGACAAGGAGTGATGGGTTCAAACTGAACCAGGGGAAGTTCAGGTTGGATCTAAGGCAGAAGCTGTTCCCTGTGAGGGTGCTGAGGTGCTGGCACAGGGTGCCCAGAGAAGCTGTGGCTGCCCCATCCCTGGCAGTGTTCAAGGCCAGGTTGGACACAGGGGCTTGGAGCAACCTGGTTGCCCTGCTTGTGGCAGGGGCTTGGAACTGGATGATCTTAAGGTCCTTTCCAACTCAAACCATTCTATGATTAATTAGAGCTAGAATATCATTGTGGCTGAGCTGATGATAGGAACTGAGAAATGCATGGAGAAAGCACACTGATGTACTGAGTACTGCAGAATCCTGGCTTCCCACTTTGCTCTTATGGAAATGGTTGGGATTTGGATGCTTAAATGTTTGTTGATGTGTTGGGAGGACAACTGAGGCTGTGTGAGGTCAGAGGAGCGCTGGCTGAAGGAAATGGAACTTCAGTCAGTTGCCAGCTGTGGGCTTCTTTTGTCTCAACTATCTGTTTGTTATTAATCCCATGTGGTTTGTGTTGCCCTGTTGGAACAGGATAAAACATAGAAGTATTATCCTGGAAGACTTTGGTGCCTCGGAGTGGTTTGCTCTGTGTCACTCCTTAATTTACATCAACAGGAGCTGCTTTGTAGAGAAGAGAGCACCTCATCATTTTGAATTGTTTTAGTGCAATGATAAGTTATACAGCACAGTTCTTAACACATGTTGATCTTAATGATCCAGTATGGGGTAATGTAGAAACAACTGGAAAGCTCAAACCCAGATGGGAACTTTCTGGAATGTCCTGTAGCTGTTGAAGTGGCTGCCATTTCATGGGTGTTAACCAAGAGCCAAAAAAGAGCTTCTTAGGGGGGGTTGTTCATATTTTCTTTTAACCAACTCCTATTGCCAGGAGCATCCAGTGAAATGTGTTGATGTTCTGTTTGTCAGAGCTGTGCCACAGGTGGGAAGTGGGGCTGCAAATGCTTTGGATGTGGAGAAGGGACTCATTAGCCTCTGAATGCAAGCACCAACCCAGGCTTTTAGCATCTTGGCATTGGAAAGTCAAATTGACTGAATCCAGTGTTGTTGTTTTTCTTCACATCCGTTTTCCTCACATCCACATCCATGTTGTTTTTCTTCACATTTCCCAGGCTCAAAAAACGAGGACAATGAAATTCTGGCATGGGAAGCTGTCATGAAGGAAAATTACCTTGTCAAAATCAATACCAAAGCAAATGATTCATCAGAAGAGTACGTCTGCCCTTCTTTTCACTCTCTTAACTTTCTGTTGAATATTTTTAGTGCAGGCAAGTTATCAGCAGCTCTAGATGTTTGCAAACTAATGAGTAGATAAATAAACTCAGAATAAATGTGCCTTTTGTTTTTTCAAGGAAGATGATGGCTTTTTTTGTCTGCTGCTGCAGCCTGTCTTCAGAAATGGTTGTGCTGGTAAAATGCTAATGGCAATCTTGCAATGTGCCATGCAACAATGGCATGTTATACACCCAGTAGCTGGGTACATGTATTAAATCCACGTGTTCCAGATGTCCATCATAGGATTTCTCTAATGATTTCACCTTTCTGTACTTGAATCTTCCTGGGTTTCCACCAAAAGAGAAACTGTTCCTATAGTGTTTTGAGGTCTCAGTGTGGAAAGCAGTGCTATTCACTGACTAGTTTTGTAACATTAGGGGTTTATATTGGATATTAGGAAAAATTCCTTCACCAAAAGGGTGCTCAGGCATTGGAACAGGCTGCCCAGGGCAGTGGCTGGGTCACCATCCCTGGAGCTATTTAAAAGACATGGACCTGTGGCACCTGGGGATGTGTATTAGCGGTGGCCTTGGCAGTGTTAGGTTTATGGTTCCATTCAATCTTAAAGGTATTTTCCAACCTAAGTGATTCTAGGATTATGTACTTAGAGGATATTTAGTGTTAGATGTATAATGTCAAGCGTTTTCACATCACCAATCTATGTATTAGTGGTCTGTACCTGATAGTATGAGTAGGAAGACCTCTGGGGAGGGGAGGATGCTATCTGGAATGGTGGTGACTTGGACTACTCTTTTTTGACTGCTAGCTCGTGACACTTCATCTTTGGGATGTGTCTTTTCAAAGTAATAGTATGAGGAAAAAGAAATCTAAAGGAAGCCAGGAAACAGAGCAGTCATGTGCTCTGTCTGATGGCTTAATTTAGCAGTTAGCTTATAGCAGCTTGACTGTTTCCCTAAATGAAATATAAGGGAAGAGCTAATAAGAATAGGCAGGGAAGACCAGACTCTTTCATGCTTCTCTGGCCTTGCTGTGGACATTGCTGTCCACAGGGAAGTGTTTAGGTTAAGACTACCCAGAGGCACTCAAGTCAAAGAAATACAAGAAAATAGCTTTGATTCTGGAAGCAGAAGTGTCTTGACAAGGAAAATGGAATAGCACAGCAGTAATGGTAATTCCTGTGTTAGTTCATGTACTTGTAATAAAACTGATGCCAAACCCCCTGCAGCCCTGCCTTCTTGGGGGGGTGAAGCACTGATGTTCCCAAGCAGTCTGGTTTGTGACTGACCTCTGACTACACTCAAAGAGGGCAGTCTCCTGACAACTGATTCCAGTCGCTTTGGCTCCACTCTTTGGCCAGAGATGAGGACTAGATCTCTTAGCTGCAGACAGGCTTGTGCACAGCTTTGCAAAGGGTGGAGGGGGGTTAGCCAAGGCATCAGCAATACCAGGACTCAGCCCTTTTTCTCTTTCCTCTTTTTCAGGATGCTGCATCGATTTAGACAACTGGATGCAAAGGTACTTGTGTTTCAGACTGTTCTGGGGGATGTACTTCTATCCAGTCAAGCAAGTCCATGAGGAAAATAAGCACTGAGAGTCACGTGCAGTCTTTTACTATTGCCAGGACCCCATTTGGGCTGGGCTTTTTTTAACATGCTCCTTTGCACTTTTGATCCCATGTGTGAAGAGAAGCTGTGTGGAGACCTCATAGCAGCCTTCCAATATCATCAGGGACTGTAGTGACAGGACAAGGGGTGATGGGTTCAAACTGAAACAGGGGAAGTTCAGGTTAGATCTTAGGCAGAAGCTCTTCCCTGTGAGGGTGCTGAGGCACTGGCACAGGGTGCCCAGAGAAGCTGTGGCTGCCCCATCCCTGGCAGTGTTCAAGGGCAGGTTGGACACAGGGGCTTGGAGCAACCTGCTCCAGTGGAAGGTGTCCCTGCCCGTGGCAGGGGTTGGAGCTGGAGGAGCTTTAAGCTCCCTTTCAACCCAAACTATTCTATGATTCTACGTAGCTTCATATTGTGCTGGAAAATGAAGTAGAAAGATAGTTGCTTAGCACTGAAGTGTTTCTCAGTATTCCTTATTGAATAGAATTAAAAATAACTTCTATCTGTTAAAACTTCAGTATTCTGCTGTGTAACAGGCCCATGAAACACTGATGGAAGAAGGGGCATTACACACTTAAGAGTATACCCTTCTCAAACACATGTTCTGTCAAGTTCAGCTTCTAGTGCTGGAAGCATGAGGTGATTAACCCAACTTTGTTGGTGATGTTTGACATCTTATAAAATGAAGTGGCAGTTCAGCTATATTGTGGCAAGTCTCCTGGTGCTTCAAATAGCACAGGCAACATCTAGGTAAACAAAGGATGCTCCATACATATTGCAGGGTAGGAAGACCTTTAATTACAATTAAAATGAACAGTTCTCATTTGATTCAGAGAATTATCCTGTGCTGAAGCAGCATAAAGCTACCAATCTACTAGAGAGCACATCGTTATCAGGATGGACATACAAGTATGCTTTTAATGACTGATGCTGAAAAGACCTTCACAATGGATATTCTTTGAGACTTGATTGAAAGATGTATTTCTTCTCTAAAGTGGAGAGTTGCTTTGGTGTGAAGAACAGACTTTTTAGCAGTCCAAGGGTGAAAAGGCCCCTGTAGACTTCAGAATACTGCTTTTGATTGCTGTCAAATCATTTAGATTGCAAAATAATAGCTTGCTTTCAAGACTGAAGTGGAAATGGTGAGTCACCAAGTATGTGTCTAGTGATGCTCCTCTTGAAAGTGAAAGGAAATACAGCAACCTTAATTCTCTACTGAAAAGTAACACCCAAATTGTGCCTTTTATTCTCGGAGGGAATACCTTGCAGCAAGTTGTTTTGTCTATCCATGCTTTCAGCTTTAGGGAGAGAATGGCACCGAGGCCAGTGCTTGGGAGCAAGTGCCCTTGAGAGCCAGGCACTCCAGGCATATCTCACTTGAGATGATGTCCTAAAAGCAACTCTGAGGATGCAGCTGAGTCCTGGCCATGAGCCTTGGTCGTGGGCTTTTCTTTAAACCTGATGACCCAAGGAATAACAGCCTTCATTTATGCCAGAGGGAAAGGGTTTGAGTCAACTCCATGGGAACAGTCCATGGAATTCCGCTGATCTGCAGTCTCTGCTTTAAGAAGGAGCCCAAGGAGTTGGAGTATAGTTGGGAGCCTGATGCCTGCTTGTTAACTAGGTGACACATGCAGTAATGCTCGCTGCATTAATTGCAGTGATGAAAGTGGCAACTGGGAGTGTTCTTTCAAGCACTGTTGCATTTGGTGTAATGCTTGGAGAGGAATTACTCATGGCACATGATTTATTAGCACTGCTTTACTGTGAGAACAATATTGACACTGCTTCGTTTGCCACCACACTGGGACTACTGAATACAAAAGGCAGGCAGTGGGTGCTCTCAAAGTAGTGGCTGGTGTCCACACAGGGTAGCCAAAGAGGCAGGAGGTCAGATAAGAGGTTTAATGCCTCTTCTTGCTGATGTTGTGAGGTATTTCTTAGGGTATTTCGAGGAACTCACTTGTTTTGTTCTTCTCCTGTCCCTTCATCCCAAGCTGCCATCACCTGTTGGAATGGGTATGATTAACTTTGCATAAACCCAGCTGCTTCTTTCTTTTTCCTTTTTAAGCTCTCTGATTTGAAAGGTCTTCTGAAAGAGATTGCCAGCAAAATCAAATGAAGGCAGCTGAAACCCAAGAGCAGCTACCTGAGCAGGGTAAGCCCTCTTTAAATCCATTCTCTGACTTGAATAAGTTATCAGCATCTGTGATGCTAAATCAGTATGTCTCTGGGAGAAGAGTTAGTATTAATTATTGATGCTTGTATTGATGTTGTCTAATATTGGAAAAGAAATAAGAGTGAAATTCTCTTCCCCATTTGTTTTTTCTGAAAACCATCATTTTCCATCTGGTGTTTCTAGCAGTTTTTGGCACAGTTTGAAATATCTTGTTTTGTTCCCTTGCCTTTGAATAATAAGTGTGAATAACCCAGGGTTATTTTAGTTGCCTTTGTGTTAGAGGCCCTCTAGAAAAGCAGGAGTTGCCGGGCTGAATCCTTTACAGTTGGTTCATTTTAACTCTGAAGAACATAAAAGCCAAATAGAGAAGAGAGAATTGTAGGAAGGAATAAGGTTTATTTCCCCACTGTCACACTGGGGCATTATGGTGGATGACTAGAGCCTGCCTGTGTCCTATACAATAAACTGCAGAGTGAAGAGTTGACCCAACGTCTCCAGAGCTGCAGTTCAGTGTCCAGTCATGAGCCTCGTGTCCTTTTTCGTGTTCCCAAATCAGTTGTCTCACCATTTTTTAGGGATTACTTTACATTCACTTGACCTGAAGTTCAGATTCTTTATGAATGACTTGCAACCATGTAATAACAGCTACAAGGAACCCCAGTTACTGGGCTTTTTCTTGGATGCAGTAAACTCCAAGTCACCCAGAGAACAGGCTGGAGAATAATGGAACTCTGGACATCATCTGGTCCAACCCTGCTCAAAACAGCACCAACTCAGATCAAAGGTAGCTTCAGTTTGGCTGAAAAATAGGTTATAATTCAGCAAGGACAGATTTTACAGCTCCCTGGGAATTACTGGCTACACAGGCACAGAATGAGGGCAAATCTGATGAGGCAGCAGTTGTACAGAGAAGGGTCTGAAATGGAATAGTAAATAGCTAGTGTTTTGCTGTCTGTGAGATGTATGAAATAGTCCTGCTGCTTATAGTGCAATGAATCCTCTGTTGGGTACAGCATCCAGTGTTGGCACTAAGCTTTAAGGAAGATGACAGAGTGGCTGCAGCGTGTCCTGAACAATGACAGGAGGAACTGGAAGTCTTAGCAACATAATCTATAGAAAGGAGTGAATGAATTACAGTTAAATAGCCTGGGAAAGAAGATACGTGTTTATGATGGAGCTCGTGGAAACAGCCTCTCATTATAGCTAAGCAGGGCCTTGAAAAGATGGAACCCCCTTCCAGTTTATGCCTGGTGGACTGTCTGGATGGCATCCTGGTTGTGATCAAACTGGTTTGCACGTGAGCTGCCCTGACTCTGGAGCTGAGCCTTGGCACAGCTCCAGTCCACAGTCACACAGTGGTTGTGTGAACAAAGAGGTTAGTGTCTCACAGGAAGCACATGTGTGTGTATTCTGCTATCTCATCTGAAAGGCAGTACTTGTATCTGCACTTGACCATCTTCAGGATGAGCTGCTGGATTGGCCATTCCATGTCCTTTGCATGCAGGTGTTCCTTTTGCTTTCACTTCCTGACAGCTAGTATCCCGGCTACTCTGCTAAGACACCCTGTTCCGGATGGACGCTGCAAAGAGCTCCTCGATCCCAAGTGTGGCACAAGACATCCCGTTTTCTGAGCTGATACATGAGGATGAAAGCAGAACATTGAGCTGGGCTAGGAGCTCAACTCTATATTCTTTTCTTTTGCTCACACAGGTACAGCTTCATCAAGACCAATTCCTCTGAGCTGGCAGTAGCCACCAAGCCAACAGTAACTGACCCACCAGAGCATCAATGTCTCAGCAGGAGTTACTGGGATTTCTTCTTTGGTTTCATTTTTTTGATCAAACAGCCCTTTCTGCTTGTTGCAAGATGATGATAAAACATGAAGATGACTGTTTGTCTCCTGGCAGGGCTCCCATTCTACCCAAACTCTCCTTTTTCCTCCTTTCTCCTGATGTTCAATGGCAGCAATTAGTCCTTGTCAGCTGCTGTTAAAAAGCACTCCTTATTCCAAGAGTTCTGTTGCTGCTGCCAAAATCACTTTCCTTTTCAATTTCACTCAAAGGGGCCTGTTCATGGGTTTCCTTTAGCCACTAATTACTTGTCTTGATGAATCAATCTCCCTTCTCTTTCCTTTGTGTAGTAGCCAGATCGAGCTTGTTCATTGCATGGCCTGTCTGTCAGACCTGCTGAGGTCTGTAATGCTGGCATGCCAGAGTATAATGTATTTCAGCATCATCCCCTGGAGGAAAGGCAGCCTTTGGTCCAACCCTGCGTCCACATCTCAGACTCTACATGACCAGTGGGGACTTCTTCCTGCCCTTCCTGGACCTGTGCAGCAATGCAGAAGCTCAGCTATTACAACCCCGCACGGGAGAGACTGGCTTAACCTACAGAGTGTTTCCGAAGGCCTCGTGTGCAATCTGTGCTTGTTTCTTTAGTGCTGATTTGTACACTGGGGTCACTGCAATTCATTTGAACATGTGGTTGCAGATGTTTGCATTTTGAAATGGAGGAAAGACTTTAAATGTAGCCATGCTTGCTATGGCGAGGTTGCTCTTCCTGCTTTCTGTCTGAAATAGCAGCTGAATTGTGTGGCATTTGGTATGCTAGAGCTGGGTGCATGACTAACTGAAGGGAAACAGCTACAAATAGCACTTATTTACCTTGCAAAGCATGTAAAGTCTGTCTTCATCCCCATGAACGATGAATGAACCATCTCCCAAGATGAAGGTTTAGGAGGTTTCCTTGTGCCTGGCAAAGACTATCATAGTCCATACACTTGGCCATGACTTGCAGCTAGTCCGAGGGCCACCAGCCAGAGTATCCGGCTGCTTATATGAGGGCTTTGGGGTGGGTAGTTAGGTGTGTGGAGAGGGCATTTCTGCTGAAGCAGAGCACTCCCAGGTGAGTCAGTCTAGGTCTCCTGTGGCAACACGTTGGTCCAAGATGGTGAAGACAAGAGTGGTTTGTGTGGTTTGGTGTTTGCTTCAGAGCTGGGGTATGAAGTGATGTTGTACATGGGGAATGCTTCTGCTTCAGGATGCAGCTGCTTGAGCTGCAGCTTTACTGAGGCGGTGGTACCAGGGAGGTTACTGCTCTTCCTGCTTCTCATGACCTAACGTTGTGGTATTCCATGCATTACATGATCCTGGGGGATTTAGCACTATCAATAGCAGCGTTACTTGTTTACATGTGGAAATATTTGTGTTTTCCTGCTAACAAGTTTATAAAGGGCTCAGGCTTTCACTTATGCTTTGCAGCATAAATCATGACAAGTTTCCTTTCTAGAAATTACTTTTCCTGTGTCATTTGTATGCCTGGAATGTGAAAACTGTGCCTTTAACTTCGTGCCTTTCATATATAAAGCCTGCAGTGTACTTGCCAGTAGCGCTGGTGATCTGTTCTTCTGTCAAACAGTGAATGTACCTTGGCACCATGTTCTGAAAGCTCAAAACCCTGATGTCTGTCCCTGCCCGCTTCTGTGTCCCATCACCACCTGCCTGCACCCCACACACGTCCCTTCCCTTGGGCACCCTGTGCCAGCGCCTCGGCACCCTCACAGGGAAGAGCTTCTGCCTCAGAGCTCATCTCAATCTCCCTTCTGGCAGGTTCAAGCCATTCCCCTTGTCCTGTCCCTCCATCCCTTGTCCAAAGCCCCTCTCCAGGTTTCCTGGAGCCCCTTTAGGCCCTGGAGCTGCTCTAAGGTGTCCCCTTGAGGAGCCTTCTCTTCTGTCAGCCTGGCTCCAGAGCAGAGCTGCTCCAGCCCTAAAGGGAGCTGACATCCTTTACATCCATTTCAGACATCCTGAAAGGAGCTGAATGCTGTCTGCTCTTGGCATGTGAGGGCTTGTCTGGTTTTGGGATGACTCTGGACTGTTGTGGATATGCGAGGGAGCACTACGTGTACACGAGTTGGCCTTTATGCAGCCGGTCCTGTCACCCTGGGTCACAGCAGAACCTCCCAGCAGCCTTGCATCCAAGTGCTGCTCAACACTGGGCATTGATTTTAAGCTGGGTCTTCCCTAACCTGATGGATGCCTTCAACATCTTATGGTACAAGTTGTTTTCCCGTGGAAATACCCTACATCTGTCCTCAGGGGTGGGAGCCCTGGTGTGGGATGGACAACCACAGGGATGGGAGGGTGCATCATGGCCCGCTGCTGATACTGGAGGCTCCTGGAGGAATGACTGTGCCCCTTGGTCAGGAGGGATGTGTGTGCTGCTGGAGCCTGCCGAGGAGATCTGAGCATGAAAGCAGTGCCTGGGTGTTGTAAATAAGGCTTTCTTCACAGAGGAGGTGGCTTACATGTTTTTGCCCCTGGCTGTCTCCTGCTTTTCCATTATTAATTTGATTTAAAGCATTGATATGATACTGTCTCAAGGCAGATTTGCACCGAGTTGTTTTCCTGCAGCCCCATATAAGTGGGTAGTAGCTCTTGCTTTGTGCCATTCCTATTTTTCTTTTGTGTAGGATGTTAATGTGTTTCCAATACCAGCATTATAAAGCTGTCAGCTAAGAAACATGTAAATCTAATATTCTCCCTGTTAATTTATGAGCTGAGTTTTCTGCTACCAGGAAATCTTTCCGGTGAAAAGGAATGTTAATGAGATCATATAAAATGCCCCTTTTTTTTCCTCTTGAAGAGGTATTTACTTTGCTTGAGAGATGTAGATTTGCTCCTTCTGGTAAATAGCTGAAAACCATTGTGTTTTATCTGCAGTGTGGGCTTGGTCTAGGAGACAATAAAATGACAGTTAAAAGTATTGGTTCGAGCAAGGCTGGAAGTGTTCTGCTTGCCTGAGCTGGTGCCTGGTATGCAGGCACTGAGAAAAGGGCTTTAGGGAATTGAGGAATTAATCAGGGGCCATAATTAAACCTTGATTGCAATAAATTTGCTTTCAGTGATATCTCAGGTTCATAAACACAGGATGGTTTC